GTTCTCGCCGAACCTGATGATCGCGATTGGCGGGGGCGGGTACGTTCCGGCGCGCATCTTGCGTTCCTTCCTCAAGCAACCCGGGTCTTCCAACATTCCCATCCAGGCCATTGGCCTTTCTCTTTACGAAAGTCTCGGGCAGGAAGAGGACAAGGTCGAGACGCCAGGGACTCAAGTGAAGCGGACGCAGTGGCTCGATCTGCGATCCTTGGAGATGGCGAACTTGATTGGCAAGAACGTGCTTATCGTGGATGAGGTCGACGACACTCGCACGACGCTGGAATATGCTGTGCGCGAGCTGGAAAAGGATGTTGCGACTGCTGCCCAAGATGCGGGGCGCACGCAAGAGGAAACAAAGTTCTTCGTCTTTGTGCTGCATAACAAGGATAAGCAAAAAAAGGGCCATCTGCCGGATAAGATGATGAAGGAGGGGAGGTACCTCGCTGCACGGACTATAGGGGACGAGTGGATCAATTACCCGTGGGAGGCCATAGATATTGACGAACATGATCGGCTTGCCCGCGAGGGCTGATATGATGGGACGATTAACTACAGATAGATAATTCAAAAGATGAAAGCGCCTGTCAATCCCGGGTATCACCCCAAACGCCTTGCTTCCCCTCTAAATTCGTATAGGTAGTTCGTATTGGCTCATCCTATGACTTCGCCCTCTTCGGGGACGGATGAGCCGGGCGTGGGCGCAGCTTCGCCGTTCACGGGCGCGCTTTCACCGTTTACGGCCTCGGCGGACCCGGCATTGCCGTCCTGCACACGGATCTTCTCTTCCACGTGCATAGCATCGCCATTGGTGCGCAGCGTGGAATCCGGTGTGGCATCTGTGCGACGCCGTTTGACCCCATCTTCAAGGGGCGATGACTTGCCGCTGACGGGCCCATCATGATGCCCTCGCTTGCGGGAGCTGGCGGGAGGTGTGTATGGCCCGCGCGTGGGATCTGCCACGGAAGTGGAACTGTCCATATTGTCGAGCAGAGTGGACAGCCGTGAGAAGGAAGGAACGGAGCCCTCGAAGCGGTGGAGATCAGCGCCCTTGAGGCGATGGGGAGCAGCGTGGTATACGTCGCACATGTACTTGACAGCCCAGCGCAGCGTCTTGATGTCTACCCGATGTGGTTGCCACCACGGGTGGCCGTCTTTATCTGGCAGTGATTTCTCGCAATGCAGACAGGCAGCGTACAGCCCCGCAGCAGCGATTGTGTGGCTGCCCAGGAGGAGGCACAATGGCGTCTTTACAGTCCCGGCGTAAAAGGCACAAGCCGCGTGACGCAGGTCCCGGTCCCGCTCGATGCCGCACGCCTCCATCATGGCCTGCAGCTGATTATGCGGTGAGCCGATGAGGAGATCGAAGCAGAGCGTCTCGAGTAGGGCGTCTTCATTGTCCAGGACGCACTCGGCCCAGTGCCACCAGTCGTGACTCTGGTCGTCATAGGTAATTTCCATGTTTTGGTGGGCGGCGCAAAAAAAGGCGCTGGCAAGAACTTGCAACTTCCTACAGCTCTCCTCAACCTTGGTGGCCAGAAACAACGCAGTGGCGCCAATCTCGTATGGGCTCAGTGCGCGCTCGCCGTTGACCCTGCGCTTCAGACTTTTGCGCATGAGAAATCTGTGGAAGAAGGTGGTAGCTGTGGTGATGGTAGAGACTGGCAGTTGCGCGATGATCCCGGCCTGAATGATGAACTGCACGCATTTTGCTCGGGTATCTAGCTCGTCGACCTGCCGCATTCCATCCCGGATCGAGGGAGCCTGCGCCAGTTCGGCCTCGGTAAATCGCCACTGCTCTTCTGCATCGTCAAGTACACTTCGGGGACTCTTCTGAGGGTATCGTCGGTAAGCGTCGTCCATGTGCTGGTGTGGAGGATGATCTGACCGTTGGCGCGGGCGTGCAGTGTATTGCAGCGCCAAAGCCCGATGCGGCTAGCTTGGCAAAGCTAGGCAATGCGCAGCGCGGACGCTAACCTCTTCTCCGTTAGCGTCCGCCGGAAGATTGGGACGACGGTTGGCTGTAAGTCGCGCATGGTGCCATGATTCCCAGGTTGAAACTGCCCAAGTTCTCGCAATCAGCCTCGTGGCAGCACGTTCGAGGCAAAAAGACCGTCGCGCACAAGTCCACGGTTCCCGTACGTTTACGAAAAGATGTCCGGGCATTCGGAAAGAAGGGTAGGTAGTTTGGACGGACATAGGCCAATCGATAACGCTTTCCCAGGCACCATCGTGCCCATCTCACCAGGGCTTATGCGCAACAGATGGTTCCCCACTGGCACAGCCGAGTACCTGACGCAGCAGGAGATTAAGCACATAATCGTGAACAAAATCCCCGTCCACCGCAACAACACGTTTGGCATAGAGGAAAAGCCCATTCCCGTGGTAGAGTCCGTAAAGACCAACACAGCAGAGTTGAGAGAAGCAAGCATGTTCCAGAAAACCGACAAGGCGCCGATACAGATGACGCCAGAGCGGACTGTCCAGCTGCTGGACAAATGTCTACCTGAAAACGGCATGAAGTTTTTCCGACAGGTCGTCTTCGAGGAGGATCCTCTAAAACATTTACAAGGAGCAGGAACACTGGACCTGCTGAAAGCCCGAGCAATACGGAAAGAAGCAGTGATATTCGATGCCGTTACCACCGCCGATGTGTTTGCAGCAGTCAAAAAGGCCATGGCCGACAACGAAGAGGCCGCGCTGGCTATGTCTTTTGTGGAGAAGCTCACATTTGTTGGTAGCGAAGAAGCAGACAAAGTCAAGCGGGTAGGAGATTACATGGTGGAGATGAAGCTCAAAGATTCGGACGAGACGGTGCGAAAGAAGGTGTGCGTTGTGGCGCAGGAATGAGGTGTAGCTGTATCTATATTTAGCAATCTATGCGGGGGAGACGGACCGCCGCCAACCCACCACCAAGATGAAAGCTGTCGTGGCCGTTCTGGGCGTTGTCGTAGCTGCCGTTTCGGCAAAAGATGAGGGTCCAAAGCTGCGCGGCGTGAGTCCGGAGTGTTTGTTTTCCCTTGTATTCTCCCAAAAATGACACTTGGCTGATGCAGGAAAAGTTTCCAAGTTCTATCAGGACACCGATGGCTTCACTTGTATCTCCAACCCGTCGCTGCGAATCCCGGCATCGCGTATCAACGATGATTTTTGCGACTGTCCCGATGGCTCCGATGAGCCCGGCACCGCTGCCTGTGCACACCTTTTGCCCTGGACGCCTCACACACCGGCCGACGCGACCAAGGTAAACACAACGCTCGCGCTGCCGGGCTTCTACTGCGAGAACAAGGGCCACATACCCGCCCATGTACCATTCACGAGCGTCAACGATGGCGTCTGCGACTACGACGTATGCTGCGACGGTAGCGAGGAGTGGCAGGGCGTTGGCGGCGTGCGATGCGAGAACCGCTGCGAACAAATTGGTCGCGAATGGCGGAAGCAGGATGAACTGCGACGGCAAAGCCTCGACCGGGCTCAGGCGCGGCGGAAGCAGCTGATCGAAGACGCCGGCCGCCTGCGCAAGGAGGTTGAGGATCGGATCCGCACTATTGAAACAGAAATCAGCGCCGGCGAAGTCAAGGTCAAGGATCTGGAGGCTGAACTGGCGAGCGTAGAGAAAAAAGAGAGGGCGCGGGCGAGTGGAAAGAGGTCAAGGGTCACAGTCCTTGCTGGTCTTGCAAAGCAGCGCACAGAGGAGCTTCGCAATGCTCTTTTGAGTGTCGTCCAAGAGCGCGACGCTGCACAGTCCCGTCTACGGGAGCTGGAGTCTCTCCTTACCACATTCAAGGAGGAATACAATCCCAACTTCAATGACGAGGGCGTCAAACGCGCGGTGCGAGCGTGGGAAGACTATGCTGCGCGTGACAAAGGCAGCGAGTTCGCATCCTCTATAGATCAGGTCACGCGTCCAGACAAGGAAAACGGTCTCGACTGGGCGGAATACGAACAGGACGACGAGCCTGAAGCAGGTAGCGTCCGCCACTACGCACTACTATCCCACGTCCCCATCGTTGGCGCCTTTCTCGATGAGAGCCTCTATTCCCTACGTCTCTGGGCCATATCCAACGGTCTCGTAGCGAGTCCATCCACCTCCACCTCCACCTCTGGAACGGATGAATCACCACTCGTTCGCGAAGCCAAGAACCGCCTTAACTCCGCACAACAAGACCTGAACACGCAAAAGTCCTCCCTCGAAACGCACCGCAACGATCTCTCAGCAGGCCACTACGGCGAGAACGACATCTTCCGTGCACTCAAAGGCACCTGCGTGTCCACCGACTCGGGAGAATATACCTACGAGCTGTGCTTCATGGAGCACACGACACAAAAACCAAAAAAGGGCGGCGGACACGTCAATATGGGCAACTATGTCCGCCTCGAAACGGTCACAGTCGACGAAGATCTACCAGCCGATGGAAAAGGTCTGGGATCAGGAGAGCGCATAGCCATGAAATTTGAAAATGGCCAGCATTGCTGGAATGGACCCAGTAGGTCGACAACCGCGATACTTGCGTGTGCAGAACAGAACGAGCTTTGGAAGGTCAGAGAGGAGGAGAAGTGCGTTTACAGGCTAGAGGTCGGTACGCCTGCTGCTTGTGAAGAGCCAGTCTCGCAAGATGCGGTAAAGGATGAGCTGTAGGCTTGTTTTTAAACAGTGTGTGCTGTGATAGACTGCTGCTTTGACGGATTTTTTAGGATGTATGAGACTGACAGACTCGTTCCTGAGAAGTTATAGTGACCATCTCAATTGCACTCGAAGTTAACCAATGCAAGCGCACACACACTCAAAAAAAAAATTTCCTTTCCAACCTGCCGGCGCGGTCCGATTCGTCTCGATTCACTTTCCATCTGAACCAGAACTCGAACGTCGATCAATTATCATGTCCATAGTCTCCTCGATAGACCCACCGAATCCTCTCTGCAGCCAAAAAAATAAAAATAAAATAAGACTAGACCCAACATACCCAACCCCACTACTCCCTCCCCAAACCAAAAAAAAAAAATGGACACTATGGGAATTGAACCCATGACCTTTCACAGTCACACATTTAACAAATGCGAAGCGAAAATCATACCCCTAGACCAAGTGCCCTTGTTCTTATCATAATGTCCAACCAACCAATACATATCCATAGCTCATGCGGGGTATAGCCGAAGATCGCCCGACTGAACTTTATCAACCTTTGCCGTCTCTATCAGAAGTACTGCTGATTCAGAACCGAGTTCAATATGAACTCGACACACATCACGCGCACGTTCGCGCTCGAGAGGACAATACATCTACACGGCAGACTCTGTACTCGAGGATTCAGTTACTCAGCCGCGCTCGCCGCTGCGGCGAAGAAACCTTGGTATCAGCGTTTGAAGGATAGTTTTTTGCCGCGGTGGAGGGAGGCGGAGGAAGAGAAAGTTGCGAACCAGCTGCCGCAGCGAGAGGAGGAAGAGGAAGAGAGTGTTGTTACTGTGACGGATTCGGCGTGGACGCTGCGCAAGGGCTCGGGTGGGAGGAGGTGGAGATATCTCAATCCCGCGGAGGAGGGGGAGTATACACCCTCGTCGAACTGGGATGGGTTGGAGAGGATCCCCATTGGGGGTGGGAGGGTTTTTGAGGAGACTGAGAGGGATGCTTTGCGGTATAGTGGGTTTGTGCCAAAGGAGGCGAAAATTGAGGATCAGCAGTGGGTTAAGTTGATGCATCATGTTGTTGTTGAGGCATTTTTGATGCAGAGGAATGGGGTGTTGGAGAAGTTGTGTAATCACCGGACGGGAAAGGCGATGACGAGGCATGGGGCAATTGTTTTGAGGGATGGGCAGTTGGATGTTGCGATCTCGGATGATGTGGTTTCGTCGGTTGTGAAGCGTGCGAGTGATGCACTGCCTTCGGTGCATGATCTAAGAGAGGAGTTGGGGGAGGCGCTGGTTAAGGATACCATTCCGGGTGGGGTGAAATGGTCGAGGATCCCGCTGGGGAGTGATGAGCTCAAGTTTGCGGTTTGTGCGATCTTTATATGTGATGTTAATGGTTGCTGACGACGTTTAGATCTGCAAGAGGGTCGTTCAGCTTACGGGAAAACGCGTGACGGACAACGAGCTGCACAGAGTTAAGACGCTGGGCGACCTGTGTAATCTGTTCAAGGCCAAACCGAAGCCCAGGAAATTGGCCGAGACAACAGAGTTCAAGGAGCTTAGATGGGATATTCCAAATGTGGCCGTTTTCAAACGAAGGCAAACACCAATGGACAAAGACAAGAGCGTGGGCAGATGGAAAGTCATCAAGGAAGAGCTCGAAAAACGAGACCTTCCCATTACAGGATCGAGATATATCGGGGCAAAGCTCAAGGCGCGATAATGCATGCAACGTCTCTCCTACATGTAAGATAGTGTTGGGGGGGAGGGGGGGGGGGGGGGGTATAAAATGTACAGAATTAGTACGTTCTCGCGAGATTGCGTATGTACCAGTCAATCAGCCGCCGGCCAACTTTGGCCTCGGAAACGTGGATGAGATCGCCCTGCATTGTGTAGTCGAGATCACTGCTGTTGACCACATCGCCCTCCAGTAAACCACCCTCGCTGTGTCTAATCTGCCGCGAGCGCTGCTTGTTGATGAGCAGCCAACTGCGCAGCGTTTCAGCGTCGACATCGAGGAAGCCGGCCAGCTTCTTCAAGTCCATGGTCGTGTACAGCTTGAGATAGCTGCGCACAAGGGGACAGTGCATGTTGTTCTTAACGTCATCCATGAAGATAGCCAGCTGGTGTTCGAGAGGGTCGATGTTCGAGGCGGGATTGTCGAAATCGGGTGGGGTAGGCGCGATGAACTTGGGGCAGGCAGTTTGGAAAAGCTCCTCAAAGATCGGGAGAGACTCGGGCCCGCCTCGCTGCATGCGCGTCAGCTGCTCGCCATATTTCTCGCGTAGCGCCGTGTGGATGGTGTCGTCAAGTCGCGTAGGGCTAAGAGCAACGCAGATGGCGACAAGGGCGTACATTTGATCGACCCGCTTGTGGATGTTGTCGTACTGCGCGCCCTTTTGGAAGTTCTTTGTGCGCGATACGAAGACCAGAATGTGGTTGAACATGCGCAGTGCATCGGCGTAGCGCTGCATCATCATGTAGCTGAAGCCGACATAGTAATACGTGTCGACGTTGGCCGCCGTGACGCGGGCAAACATAGCCTTCTTATTGAGCTCAATGTGGTCTAGAGTCTTCAGGGCCAGACTGAAATCACCCAGCAGACAGTGCACGCGCAGCAGGCCGATAATGGAGAAGTATCCCAGCATATGGTAGAGGTTCTTGCTGCCGTATTCACCCGCAAACTGTGCTGGGTCCTGGCCGCGCTTCCGCGCCTCTAGCTGCTCGATGATGTTGGACCGTTGTATAAGCGAGTACAGCACGTTCAGCACCGAATAGCAGCCCCATGCGTTCGGATTGTCCCGTAGCAAAGCAATCTCCTCGTCGTTGGCCTGTCCTGAGGTCTGTTGAAAGGCCACCCGCTGGCGGTGCGCACAGAATGAGTTGAATTGGTAGATGAACTCGTCAATCACATCCCACGCCCAGTATGTCTGGCAGTCTGTTAGCACGAGCACCCCCAGCAGCTATCTCTCACTCACCGATGGCAGCTCAATGTCTACCGGGCCCTCGCTGTTGAGGATGAAATGGAAAAGGTTGCAGTAGCTGTCGTAGCTCTGCATCTTCATCTCCGTCGAAGCTTGGTATTCTAGTGGTGTTGCAGCCGCCTGGAGCTGTGCCTGGAGGTCCTGCGCTCCGCCGAGCGACGCCGACCGGTCCAAGTCGTAGTCTTCTCCATCTTGATAGCCTACTTGTTCCCGGTAGTCGTTGGCGAGCGCCTCCTCCTCCACGTCTGAGTCATCGTTCATCTGTCTTTCCGCACTTCCTTGCTGGTATTCGTAGGCTTGTCGCACCGACATTCTTGTCCGCGAATCTGCAGTCTATCGCTGATTTGACGTGAGTGCGGAACCGTGCCGTGGTGGTGCGAACTCTTGGCAAACTTGTGAGAGCTGTGATTTGAGGTTGACGGCATGCTATGCTCGAACGGTACTAGCGCCGCTGTTCGGAATTGTGGATATCTGAACGGCTGGTCCTTATCGTTGACTCTTTTGCATCAACTGTCATCCGACAACCCGTTGGAAGCTGGAATGGAATAGAGTATAAGATTGGAAAGGTCACAACGAACATCTGGGGTGCATTCTGCATGACAGCTCTCATTTCCTTGAAACAACTCATACTTCCATAGCACAGATAACTGGGAATTCGGTATCTGTACTGTGGCACCTTAGTTAGCTGCAAGCAAGAGTACCCACTTTTTGCGGGGGCTTAGCAGTCTGCAACGATAGAGAACACTGGAGAGCATCTAACACGATGGCACCAGTTTATAAAGTGGCCGTGATCCAAATGCACCCAGAGGTGACCGAACCTAGCAAATGCCAGCTCTAAAACTGATAGACCACATGCCAGCCCATGCAGATGGAGTCCAATTATGCCAAAGCAGCCAACTTCATCGAATCTGCCGCCTTACAAGGCGCACATCTTGCTGTCCTTCCCGAATACCATCTCCTAGGTTGGACTCCGGCTCACAAAGATTTCAAGCATTCCTGCAGCCTATGGCAGACCTACCTCTCACGGTACCAATCTCTTGCAAAGGCCCATCAGATTAACATAGTGCCGGGAACTATACTGGAGCTTCTTGATCAAGGACTTCCATCTGAGAGAATAGAAAACGTAGCATATTTCATCACCTCCACCGGCGAAATTGCCGGGCGCTATGTGAAGAAGAACCTCTGGGGTCCCATAGAGCGCCAGCATTTGTTCTCTTCTTCTACCGATCTGCATCCAGTCATGGACACGCCACTGGGAAAAGTCGGTCTTCTTATCTGCTGGGACCTGGCTTTTCCCGAGGCATTCCGTGAGCTCATAGCTCAAGGCGCCAAGATCGTCATTATTCCAACATTTTGGACGCTGAACGATTGCACCTATACTGGCAAAGCTGTCAAGCTTGACGCCGAAGCCCTATTCTTGAACAGCATGCTCACGGCAAGATGCTTTGAAAACACTTGCGGTGAGCCCTTGCACAGTCGTAAAAGAGGATTGCTTTGACTGACGCATTTTAGCCATCGTATTCGCCAACGCTGGCGGTCCACTAGAAGAGGGCTACGCTGGCCTTTCGCAAGTTTGCGTTCCCTTTGCAGGTCCCTTGACCCGATTGGAGACATCGGCAGAAGGAATGGCGATAGCTGATCTCGATATGAAGGTTGTAGAGTACGCGGAGGAGGCTTACCAGGTTAGATCGGATCTTGCCAGGAGTGACTGGTACTACAAGTACCGGCATCAGAGTTAAAGACTGGCTTGCACAGATCTGTGTTTACCATGTATATCTGTTTCAATGGTCGGAAATCAAGATCATGGTAAGAGCGCGGCCACACGAGGCCGGGCCCTTCATCTTTCCCGCAGTTTCACTCTGTTGAGCGTTCATCTTCTACCTAGGCTCGTGTGTATAAAGATACCTATTTATGGAAAGACGAAGGCCTTTCACTGCTGACAAATTTACGTTGAAATGCCAAGAGTTTTAAAAAAAAATGCCACGGCCGCACTTGCACTCACATTAACACACGGCGTGTTACACACCACTTGCGCTGCGTTATTCCGATGCATCCAGACGCACAGCTGGGAGTCTCTGGTGCCTTCCTGCCCTCCTTGTATTCAACCTCTTCCCTCATTCGTAGCTCGACGAGAGTCAACGTCTTCTCACGGCCATTTGAGCTGTTCCTATCTCCACTTAGGAGGCTCCCCTCACATTGAGTATTATCTGGGCCCACTATCAACCATTTCAGCAGGCAATTTAGTACAGCGAGGGCAAAGTCACTGATGCAAGGACGTGAATGAGAAGCGAGATGGTAAGCCAAACCACGGAAAACGTCCTAGAGTCAAGGGCGACTAAAGACAGACTGTGAACATTGCAACTCGTCCACGCACGCGGATGCAAATCGCAGGCCCCAATATCCTAAAAACGCACAATCAATTGAAAAGACAAGATTGCAACGACAAGAAAATGAAGTCCGGCCGCATAGGTCCTACATGGCA